TTGGTCCCTAATGCAGCAGGGTTCACAGGAGGGGCTTTTGGAAGGTAATTAGATCATGAAGATTCTGGTCTAATGAATGGATTAATTCATTTATGGATTCTCAGCTTTGACGGTCTATTGGAAGATGGTAGCAACTAGAAGGTGGGGCCTAGTTGCAGGGAGTCATTAAGGGCATGCCCTTGAAAAGGATATTAGAACCCTGGCCCCTTCTTTTCTCTCTGGCCAACATGAGGTGAGCAGTTTCCTCCTCCATGTGTGTCCACCGTGACACTCTGCCTCCCACAGGCCAAAGCCAAGAAACTATGACCTGAAATGTATGAAGCTGTGAGCCAAAATAAATCTTTCCTCTTTTTCAATTAATTTCCCTAGGTATTTTGTCACAGTTAATAACATTAACTTCCTAGGGTCACATGGAACCCAATATCTACTAAATTGATTCTGTACACCTCAGTAGCACAGGGGGTATTGAGTACCAGAGCAGTGGAAATTTTAACTAACAGTGTTTTAACTTATGTATGTCTAGAAAACAAAGTGTTGTCTGTTTTTGTCTTCATACCAAATCCACACAGATTTCTGTGACCCCGGGAGGTGTGGGGACTTCTAACCATCAGCAAGACGTTCTGCAGCAGGGGACACTAGCTGGGTGTCCTCTAATTCCATTCCGTCCTGACACTGGCTACCTGGATATGGTATCTGATTTTACAGGTTGAGTGCTCAGTCTCCAAAGCCCCCTTCCCCATTTAGATGCCAGTTGTATGCCCCAGGTTGTTTAACTAATGGGTCATAAGTTGGGGTTTTCCCAGCCTATTCCTGGGTTTCATTAATTTACTCAAAAAGCTCACAGAATTCAGGGAAAAACTTAGGTTTTGCTGATATATTATAAAGGATATTGGTTAGAAGAAGGGGTGCAGAGCTCCCGTGCTCTCTCTGGATCCGCCACCCTCCAGAAAGCTCCATGTGTTCAACTATTTTGGAAGTGCTGATTCTGTCTGCTTAGGTTTTTATGGAGACTTTCTCACACAGGCATGAGTGCTAATAGACTGAGTGGGAAAATCCAACAAGGCCTCTATCTTTAGTTTTGCTGTTCATAGACCTCACTGCAACAAGGAGGATCTTATCGCCCACGATACCACAAATCAGTTTCTTTATGGCCTGCCAAAAGGCCATACTGAAAGGCAGAAAAGATTAGAGTTTTAATGACCCACCTTGGACTGATATATTTATATACACATATATCTCATAATATCACAAATTGTCATCAGTAACTTAATTTCTGTCTTGCTTTTTGGTTTGGGATGTATATTTGAATATCTGAAAGCAAAGCCTAGGGTATTGTGCTGGGAATCTGCCCTCATGATCTGGGATTACTGGGTTACTATTCAGCATGGCTGTGAGACTTGCTTTGACCAATAATATCTTACCAGATGTAATGCAAACAGAGGCTTGCAATGTGTTTATGGGACTGGGCTTGCCCTCTAGTCTTTTTCCCTGAAAGAACATGGCCCAAGGAAGGTGAGTGACAAGTGAAAAATGTCTGGACCCAACCAGCAGATTGGCACTAAATCTCCAGCTGACCTGTGGACATGTGAAAGAGAAATAAGTGCGGATTGTTACAATCTTTTGAGCCAAGTATAGTGGCACAAGCCTGTAATTCCAGCACTCAGTTTAAGGTCAGCTTGAGCTACATAGTGAGTTCAAGGCCAGCCTAAACTACGTATAAGACCATCTAAAAATAAATAAATAAAAAGTCTTTGAATTGCATGATTTTGTTATATAAAATTATAGTAATAACTGGCTGAAGCGTGATATCAGGAATTGGGAGCCTATTGCTATATGGACAAAGTCAAAGAGGTAATTCCTGCTTTCCCTTCAGCCAACACTGATTTGGCCCACAGAAAAAGCAGGTGAAAATATGAGCATAGACATAACACCAAAAGCATGGCTCATGAAAGAATAAATTAATCCAAGTCAGGAAGATCCCTTGAGCTCAGGAGTTTGAGGCCAGCCTGGGTAACAAAGGCTCATCTCAAAAAAATTTTTTTAAATAAATTTGACTTCATTAAAATTAAAAAATTGGCTCCACAAAGGACATCATTAAGAAACAAAAAGACAAACCCCAAGCCTGGAGGAAATATGTGCAAAATATTTACCCGATGAAGCACTGATGTCCAAAATACACAAAGAACTCTTAAAATGAACAACTCAATTTAAAAAACAGGAGAAGAATCTGAAAAGACATCTCACCAAGGGAGATACAGCATACACATAGCAAATAAGCAAACGGAAGATACTCCACCGCCTGTGTTACTAGGGAAATGCAAATTGAAATGACAATGACACACTTAACAGTGACCAAGATCCAAAAAACACTAATGACGTCAAATGCTGACCAAGATGTAGAGCAACAGGAACTCTCACTGCTGTTAGGAAGCAAAATGGCACAGACAACACTCGGCGCCTTCTCACAAGAACACACCCTTACCATATGACCCAGCAACTGTACTCACTCGTATTCATGCATCGGAGTTGAAAGTTTATATCCATACAAAATCCTGCACATAGATGTTCACAGAAGCTTTATTCATAATTACCATTTGCATTCCTATCAGCAGTGAGAACTGGGGATTAGGTTTTCAACATATGAACTTTGAGGAACACAGTCAAACTACAGCACTGCTCTTAAAAAATCAATCAAAGGGCCAGGGATTTAGCTCAGTGGCATTGTGCCTGCCTCACAAGTGCAAGGTCCTAAGTTCCCAGTTAAAGTTTCCTCACAAGTGCAAGTTCCCAGTCCCCCGCGAAAAAAAATCAACCAAAAACAAAACCCACAGGGATATATTTTGCGTTACCCATCTGCATGCACTCCTCCCCTGGAGTGGCAAAGGAAGGCAAAGTAAGACCCTGCGTTCTAAGGCACAATGACCTGCTTTAGCCCAGTCCTAGATGTGGCATTGAGTTTAAATGTAGGGGAAGCATTTCTTTCACCTTTCCCCAGGACCCGGAATAAAACTACCTCATTTCCCTACCTAGCCCTCACTTTTGTCAGGTGTCTTCCCCCATCACAGTATATTCTGACACAGGGCTCTATCAATTTCCATTCTCTTTGCATTCCTGCCCTTTTGGGGGTGTCAGTGACCACCACTTGTCTCCATTTACATATTTCCCCTTCTTCCAGAGTGAACTTTTCAGGGGCACATGACCACCTAGAATGGAGGTTACACTTTCCACTCTTTCTTGCAGCAAAATATAGCCATGTAATTAAGCTCTGATTAGTAGTTTGTAAGTGGAAGTGGCAGCTTCCAGGAAATTTTCTTAATAGATGACTGGCACAGACAGGCTCTTTACCTTTTTTTTTCTTTTCGTTTCTTTTTTCTTTTTGGCGGGGTGGGGGGAGAGGGATAAAACTTGGGACTTTGTGCTTGCAAGGCAGGTGGCAACACCACTGAGCTAAATCCCTGGCCCTTACCTCTTATTTTTTTAATCTCTTCCCTTACCTCACTGCCTGGAATGTGCATGTGAAGGCTGGAGCTCCAGCTGCCATATTAGGTCCTCAGGAAGAGCTGCCAGTCCTCCTTCAGCCTCTTGCCTCAGAGGGTGTGACATGCGCTGTCAGGGATCAGGTCCCTTAGAGTGAGTGGGACTCTGTGCTGCCATGATCTGCACCACTATGCCTGAGGGCTTTTTTTCCCCTAAAACTGCAAAAAGTCTCAGCTGCCAGTGTTCCCAGAAGGCTGAAAGTGCCAAATAATTAACACCCACAGGGAGCAATATGCAATTAATGACTCCCACTACTTTCCCCCAGGTGAGATAACTCTGAGGCAGTGTCTTGCATCATTTCCCAGAGTTTCCTCGCAGGGTTAAGTTTTGGTTATCCACAGTGGTAACTTGCTCAACAACATTCCCTTTCCAAGCACAGTTCCTACAGGAAATAATGGAGACTTAATGGAAAATTGACTCATTCATCAATGTGACCAGTAACTTTACTGAATAGGGTAGGTTTCAAATAAAGTCTTATTTTTGTGTCAGTCATAATACAACAGCTACAGATATTACACATAGTGAAAAGTAATCTACAATACTAACAGTTTTCTCCATCACATTATTTTACTGGGAACAGCCATACCTACTATTTATGCCTTGTATGCAGCTACTTATTCCTACCATGACTGTGTTGAGTAGTAGCTAAGTTGAGTAGTAGTGACACCATCCTATGGGCAGCAAAGTCTAAACTATTTACTATATATAAACTATTTACCTGGCTCTTTACAGGAAAATCTTAACAAAAGTTAATTTTTTACTGCTGATCTTAAAAGAAATTGGGAGTTGAGAGTGTAGCTCGGTGGAAGAGCTCTTACCTAGCATGAATTCAATCCCCAGCACTAGGAGGAGGAAGAGAAATTAATTTCCTTGAAACATTTTTTCACAAGTATGTAGGCAGCGAGTATGGGGGCTTCTTGTGCACTCTGCCACCCACCTTCACGGTTAAGCTGGCCCTGCTACCAACCCAGTGGTGCTGAACACAGAGCTGGGAAGAGATGTGCAGTAGGTCACCGTTTAACAGGGTACCTATCATACATTTTAAAATGATCAAAGTGGTAAGTATATAGTACCACAAAAAAAAAAATTAAAAGAAACTTGCCCATGTTGTGGAGCTCATGAGTGATAGAAATTGGATAAAAAACAAGACAGTTTAGTTCCAGGATTCTGGTTTATGTCAGATGGACACTGGAACATGGAGGCCCATTGCAGAAAATATGAAACATGAGAAGGAAAAATGGAAATATTGAGGAATAATATGCCACTTATGAAGCTTTGTTCTTTATTAGTCATTCCTCTTCAAGCACTCAGAAATGCACCCAACTTCCAGAACTCATTATAAGGGTGGAATATGACTGTAACTATGAAGCTGGCAAATTCTTTTTGTCATTCCCTTGGGGACAGCAACAAACTTGCTACTCTTTAAAATGGTTGTTCAGATCATAAAAGTTTATGCATATCACCTGGCGTGATGGTGCACAACTGTAATCCCAGGACTCAGGAGAATGAGGCAGGAGAATCTCTGTAAGTTTGGGCCAGCCTGAGTGACATGATGAGTTTAAGACCAGCCTGGAACACATAGCAAGACCCTATCTCAAAAAAACAAACAAACAACAAAAAAAGTTTACTGGTATGTTTTAGTTACCTATTACTGTATAATAAACCATCCCCAACCCTAAAACAACTAGGCTCAGCTGGATAGATATTTGTTCCATATAATGTTGATGAGGTTATTCCTGTGGCTCAGTTGATAGCTCAACTGGGGTTGGAATGTCTAAGATGATATCACTCATATGTAGTGCTCAGCCAGAGTTTCTAGAATATCTTGGGGCATTGACTGGGTCTCACTGTCTCACCATGGTGCTCTCAGGCAGAGCAGCCAGACTTCTTTATATCCTAGAGGGTGGAGGCAAAAGCCGCCAAGCCTCATAAAGTTTATACCAAGAACTAGCAGTCACTTGTGCCTTCACTGATCAAAGAAAATGATCTGTCCCGCCATATGCAAAAGGAGAATAGTCTATCTTTTGGCAGGAGAAACAGTATGCTCAACAAAGGAAGAGGGCTTTTTGGTAGCCATCTTTGCAGAAAATCTACCACAGTAGTGTTCATATGTGGGTATTAGAGTTCAACTGTCCACTGCCAAAAGGTAGAATTAGATAACTAAGAGTGTTGTACACAAAATGATACAACACATAAAAAATGTTTAGTAAGTACAGATCATTATTATTATTAACCATGATTATTCTTTTATCAATTTCTTAAACAGTCTGAGAAGATAGCAAGGGTATTCAGTTAACAGTGATATACGCGGGTCAAGTGAACTTTAAGGTCTTTCCCAATCTTCATTACTAGATTGTCTGAGTCCTTTCTTGCCACAGAAACTGAGGATTAGGAGATTTGAGTGATTTACCTCAAGTCACACACTTAGCTAGTTAGCATAGTGAAGCCTACATTCAAAGATTTCTCCACAAAATACATTGCTTTTCGCTGATTGATGTAATAATGAACTATTTTGTGCACTTATTGTATGCCTGAAGGAGTATAAACATATAGTGACAACTGTTTATTAAATACATCCTACATACTATTATGTCATTGAATCGATCCTCATCATAAGTCTATGATGTAAGTAATATATTCCATTTTCAATTTTACAGATGACATGAGGCAGAAAAAGGTAAAATAGACAGGATCCTACCTTCATAAAGACTACAGTATATTAGAGGGGATATAGGATAGCCCAGTAAATATATAATTACAAATTATTCTCAGAGTCTTACAACTGTAGGAGCCCAGATGCCAACCAAACTCCTCCATAGCAAGGTCCCAGGTAACCCCGGCAACGGGTTTTTTCCTGCCAATACTAAAGATGGCGCCCAGAAAGCAAGAGTGTTTCACATATCCCCTTTACCCAGAGGGCAGAGGGAGTAGGGGAGGAGCGTTCTCTGCCAGGAGCTAATATGATTCCAGTAGTTACACTGTCCTCTCTCTTTGCCTAATCCGCGATCTGACTATCTAGCTTAAGGTGTTAATCAGAAGTTAAATCACCTTCGACTCTCCGAGTACTGCAACTATCATTGCAGCTGGGCGACCACCTCTTGTACTCTGTAACCAGGGAGTACCACTTCCGCTGACGTCATCAACGCGACACGTGGATCCAAGATGGCGGCGGCGATGGTGAGTGAAGGAGACTGGGAGCTGGAACTGAAGCAGGGCCCTCCTGGATATCCCAGGACTTTCTGGCGCCCCTTGCCTGGTCCCTAGCCATCTCCAGGACCCCTCCTCAGGTCACCCTTGACTGGCTCGCCTCCCTCAAAATCCCCCTCCCCTGCCTCGCACTCAGGCTTGTCAAGGCCAGGAGTTTTAGAGGAAGCGCCGTTCGGAGGAATTCTTCGGCTCCTACCTCCGCCGGTTCTCATTCCTACTTTGGTCCCCGCCCCCTGTAGATCCATTTCCCTAATTTTCACCTCTCAGCCCAAATCACCCTTCGAAGAACACCCCACCCCAACTCTTTCCACTTCGCTCCTCCTCTTCACGTCCAGACCCTGCTCTCCCCGCCTCCCCACTGTTCTGACCAGTGCTTGGATGCGACCTCACCTCTGACCAGCCTCCCAGCCCAAGCCTTGTCATCACCTCCACCCTTTCTTGCTCCCAGCGCGCACCCCTCTGAACTGCCGCTATCCCAGAGCATGCCAACCTCATCTTGCATCCCCAGACCCTTTCTTACTCCTTCTGTCTTTTCTCTTTCACCTCATTGCCTCTCTCCTAGGGTCTTTTTATCCCATTGATTCTCAAACTTTACTGTGCATAAGAATCTTAGGTTGTGGGGAAGCATGATAAAATGCAGTTTCCTGAGCCTCACTCTCAAAAGATTATAATTCCGTAAGATTGGGCAGTCCCCAGGAGTGTACACTTTTTTAAGCGCTCCAGTGACTATGAGGGACGTGGTCCATGAACTACGTTTGAAAAACACTTCTACCCCTTCCTGGTTGTCTCCCTTCCCATGCCCTCACAGGGCCGCATAGCACCTTAGGGATGAAGGCTCATTATGACGAGGCTCATTAGGATGTCGTGTGTGTGGATGAGGATGAAAGTAAAAGACTGTGCTTGGAGGGAGGATCAGAACTTTCTGGCTTTTGGTACAGAGCCCAGGAAGTAAATTTTTAAAGGACTGTCCTTTCTTCTAGAAGTTCAGCTCACATTCTACTTGTCAAGAGATCAGAACTAAAATTGAAGTCATTTAATCCAAAGAGATTTCCTGAATTTTCCTGGGAATTGCTTCCTCAGCAAATAATTTTATCCTAGGAGTGAATGACAAGACACAGAAAGAGATGTGACGGGCTGGGATGTAGCTCAGTGGCACAGCACCTGCCCAGCAAGCACAAGACCCTGAGTTCAATTCCTGGTACCAATTTAAAAAAAAAGAAAAAAATGTGACATTTGAACTTAAGCAAAGGAAGATTCTTGCTTAAATTCTTTGGTATTTGTTTTCCTCCAAACGGGTTGATTATTGATTATTTCTCCTTATGTCAATTGACTTGATTTTTCTGTTTAATGAAAGATTTCAGTCTGGAACTGGGAGTGTAGCTCAGTGTTAAGAGCACTTGCCAAGCATGTGTGGGGTCTTCAGTTTGATCCCAAATACCCCCCATTTTTTTTAAATTTATAGCTTTACAGTGCTTGATTTCTAGTCTCAGTCTTCAGCCTGAACCATGAGTGGGGCAAATCCCTAAAATAATACGTTGAAACCCATTTTTTCCTTTACCATATTTAGAACAACGATGGTGTAAGAACTTAACAGGAAGTCACCCCCTCTTGCCATAGGGAAAAAGTTCAATAACATAGCATTTATAGCATTGCACTGTAAAATTCCTGCCCTCTTCAGAGATTTTTGAAAGGTTATTAAGTTAGCAGTACATATTCTTGCTACACATTTATTTAATCAGCTTTTTTTTTTTTTTTTT